GAATTCGATACCCAGTCCGCCGCCCAGATTGCCCTGCAGACTTTGTCTCACCACCAACCACTCCACATGACTCCTCGCTTCATCGGCATTTCCCCCAGAGAGGTTGTCTGGTCTGCATTAAATCTCAGCTGGTGGCAGCGCATTGTGCGAAAGTTCGCGGTTAAGGGTGGTATTGCTGCGCTTGTCATTTTCTGGTCGATCCCATCTGCCCTCGTGGGTACTATTTCAAACATCACATACCTTTCCGACATGGTTCCATTCCTGCATTGGATCGACTTACTTCCAGAGACGATAAAGGGTGTAATTGCAGGACTGTTACCATCAGCAGCACTTGTTATGCTGATGTCCTTGGTGCCAATCATCTGTCGAAGTATGTCCCTGATAATGCATATCACCTTCAGGTACTAAAGTTCTAACCTTTGCCCCGTATAGTTTGTGCCCGACGTTCCGGTGTGCCATCCTCTTCTCGCGTGGAACTATTCACACAGAGTGCCCATTTTTGCTTCCAGGTCGTCCAGGTCTTCCTGGTCACGACGCTGACTTCAGCAGCGTCCGCTGCAACCACCCAAATCATCAAAGACCCTTTGTCCGCCAAGGATCTTCTTGCCGAGAACCTCCCCAAGGCAACCAATTTCTATATTTCTTACTTCCTGCTCCAAGGATTGACCATGAGTTCTATGGCTGTGGTTCAGGTTGCTGGAGCCTTATTCTTCAAATTCATCACTACTTTTTTCGATCGCTCTCCTCGACGTCTGTATGAAAGATGGTCCGCTCTCAGCGGTATCAGCTGGGGCAACATCTTCCCAGTGTTCACAAACATGGGCGTTATTGGTTCGTCCCCAACACTGCAGCAATTCCCTCATTTACTGAAGCGACGCAAGACTAACAAGCCCTGCAGCCCTGACCTACTCCTGCATCGCACCTCTCATTCTCGGCTTCGCCTTTGTCGGCCTCTACCTCGTCTACCAAGCCTACCGCTACAACTTCCTCTTCGTCTACGACCCCCGCATCGACACCAAGGGCCTCGTCTACCCCCGAGCCCTCCAACACCTCCTCACAGGCATCTACCTCGCAGACGTCTGCATGATCGGCCTCTTCGCCATCAAAGGCGCAGTCGGCCCCCTAGTCATAATGCTCCTCTTCGGTATCCTCTTCGTCCTAGCCCACATGTCCCTCAATGAAGCTCTTGCCCCCTTCAACAACTTCCTCCCCCGCACCCTCGACACCGAAGAAGAAGCCCAGCAATGCAAAGAAGAAGAAGTCCACTTCCTCAGCCCGCGCAGCAAATGGGAAGCCGCCTGGAAATGGTTCCACCCGAACCTTTACCGCGACTACGCTGGTCTCCGTCGGAAGGTCCGTCGCAACGACGTCGAGATCAAGTACTCCGAAGAAGAACGCTACAACGCTTACTACGAGCCATGTATTACATCGCCCACGCCCACGATCTGGATCCCGAGGGATAAGTGGGGATTCAGTCAGCAGGAGGTGTTGGCGACGGACCCGATCATTCCGATTACGGATGAGGGTGCCCATTTGGATGAGAAGAATAAAATCGTTTGGGATAAATATGATCCTAACTTGCCGCTGTCGGAGTTGAAGATTTTGTACTAAACGGTAGTTTTTTGAGTCTTGTATATAGCGTGTTTTTTATTTGGGCGTTGGTTCTGGTGGGTAATGATAATATGACTACTAATGGTTGGTGGACGGAAATTGGGTTATGTGATTAGGTTAATTTAATGAATAATATATTAAACTTTTTGTAGTACATTTGTGTGTTGTTTAGGTTTTATAGTATGTTTTCTAGTATGTTTTCTAACTAGAATAAAGCCCCAAGTCACTATCTGACTGGCCCCATTGGTCTAATAAACTGACCCAAAGAATTAGAGCCTGCATACTACGCTCAAACTACGTCAATAGAGCGCTTCCGAAATCGTTCCTATCAACGTAAAGGTCAATCAATTCAAATAAATCAAAGAATTATGATATAACACAAAGAACGAAACCAAATAATATGTTATGAGAAGAGAAAAGCAGCAATATCCATACGAATAATAAGAATCTCCTACATCTCTCAAACAGTCAAAGTAAAGTTGACCGTGTTAGTCGTTGTGTCAACACGCGGAAAGAACTCGAACGTGAAAACTGTATCCTGGCCCGCGGCAACAACAGCCTCAACCGCAGCCTGGGTGAGAATCACGTTCTTGTCATCCCAGTTCCATTGGCTGCTGTATGTCTGTAGATTGGCGAACAAGAACGTTAGTAATCTCTAGAATATATCGCGAGTGGGCAAAGTGAAGGGGAACTTACTGTTCTAGCTTCGGCAAAAGGACCGAACCATTGGGTGAAGTCGTCGACTAGATAGGTGCCATTGTTGAGGAGGGCCTTCACAGTGGCGGGTTTAGGAAGTCCTTTCCATGTGATAGGGATGGAGAGGTCGGATCCGGAGACGGATGAGGCGGCGGCAGAGGTCTTTGAGAGTGTTGGGGTGTCCCACTGGACAAGTTGGATGACAGGGGAGGCTCCTGATGAGAACTTCAGGGTGAAGTTGGGGAGGAGGCCTGGCTCGGAGGTTTCCGAATAATATGTTGAGAGGAACGAGGCAGGGAATGTGATGTTGGAACCGGCGACGCTGTAATCTGTGTCTGCCTTTAGGGTGGTGCCCTTCGAGTCTTTGATGGAAACGAGAGTGTTGTCGTTGAACAGGAAGGGGAGGGTCTGATCAGTGACTTCTGTTCCGACTTTGTGGAAGATGTATGCTGAAGACCATTGACTTGGTGCGGAGGTGTCTACGGTGCTGTCGGGCAGACTGTTAGTCTCGTTCCCGTTGGTGAGGATCTCGATTGACACGGGGTCACGCCAGATGCCTGATGAGCGGTCCAGGTGGTCAAGTCCGTTATCCCAGAGAATAGGGCTCATGTTGTACTTCTTCGTGGTGCGAATGAGGTAGTCGTGATACTTCCAGCGTGCTGCAGGTTCGGTGTTGGTCGGAGAGGCATCGAACTCTCCAAGGACAATGGGAATATCGGTGAAGTTACCTCGAAGAAGGCCAAGGGTGCTGTCAAGCTCGCTCTTATCTGAGTCTGAGCCCCAAATAGTCTTGCCCCTAGGAGAGTTAAGTATGAAGATCATATCAATAGAGGGTCAAGTGCTATTTACCATGCACTGAAGATAAAGTCGTCTGTATGAGAACGTTAGCACTAAATTGCGAGAAGGATTTAGCCTACTTACAAGGAGCATAGAAATGGAATTGAAGAGCCCATGGGTTTGTGATATTGGCAGGGGCCTTGAACCACTGGGAGGTTTTTACACTGTCCATCCCTCCACCTACCAGGTTGACGACTCGCTTTGCATTGAAGCCCCCAGCACGATTGATTTCATTGAGAAAGATCTCATTAAATCTATTGATCTTGGCACCGTCTTCGGCAGTATTGCAAGGTGGTTCATTGATGGTTTCGAAGGCGACCATGCTTGACTTGCAACCCAACTTAGTACCAATCTGATACCAAAGTTTCGCAAATTTCTGCTCAATTTCGGTAATGTTTGCATCGGTTTTGGTGACATCCGCCCATTCCCAAGAGTCTGGATTGTTAGCTAGTGGCTAAGCCATGATTATAGGCGTACTTGGGTGGTTTACCGTGGTGGACATTGACAATAGTGTACAGACCACGAGACGTGATCATGTCTATAACATCAGAAACTCTCTGCAGCCATTTTGGATCAACGGTCCAGTCAGGAGATTCACTAGTGAAGTGATGTGTCCAAGTAACTAGTGGTGTTATTAGCATATATGTGAAAAGTCTCTCAAAAAAGAAGGGGCAACATATCCACGCACCTGGAAGGCGAACACTCTTGAATCCAGCTGACTTGACATAATCAAAGGTCGATTCTTGAACAAGAGGATTATTCCAAGAATCTTCATTCGGAGTAGCATCAAGACTGTTTCCCAAATTCCACCCTGGATTGATTTTCGCCACGAAATCAGAGGCCGAGATGGCGTCAAATGACCCTGTACAATTGGCACCGAGGGCCCAGGCGCCTTGAAGAAAGGCCGTGAGAGCTAAAAGCCGTAATGGTTGCATTATGACAAGAGCTCAGAGGTGACTCAAAGCCTGTGAAATCACTTTGGAAGCCTGTGCGGTCAGATCATGGAGGGAAGAGCAGGTTATTTATATACTAAAGTTTGAAACCCCGAAGAAAAGTAGAACCTGGCCAACAGGTGTTGGTGAATATGACACCAGTCCCCGTGCATTAGGGCATCTGGAATTGATTAAGAGTGAATCTTGACCGATTAGCTGATTCGAGCCCCCCTAAAGGATGAAACCTAGAAGCCTCTTGCTATAGATGCATGCATCTCGCCAGATGTGATAGGATTGCATAGGACGATCTCCAGACAAATGCCCTCAAAGATAGCTAGTTAACTACTAGCACACCATCGCAATCAAGTAATGCAATCCAATATGGTAGAAATAAAGCCGTTAATGTTCTCATCATCCGTTTCTCCGACGGCTTAACAGTCCGGGTAATAAGTCTATACTCTATACGCTCTGTTGCGAGAGCTTGGAATTCCCCACGGAATAAACGCCGGACGAATAATTTCCGATACCTGACCATTCATAGACGCGGACATTGAACTAGGAACTAGGGTCTTAGAGTATTAATGAAACATGCAGAAATTCAAGAAAAGGAGTCAGTGTATCTTCCTCCAATTAGGTGGCCCATGGCGAATTGTGTTGGTGGGCCCGCGGCGACATTTTATAAAACAAACGTGCCGGAAACTTTGTCTCAGATATCGGAGATGGATGCGTCGGTGCCGAGATGCTACAATGCAGGCGCAAGGGTTTTCTGCAATGCCAGAAGTGTGGGAATAAGGGAACGCTTGCGCCATTCGACCTTTAGCCGAGGGATGGTTCTGTCCGAATACTTCAATGGGGAGACTGGAGGAGTTTGGATGAACCAGTCCAGCATAAGTTGTTATAACTTATGTCACATGCTGGGTCAACAAAAGATGGGAGAAATCTCTCCCCGTCACAAATGACCTATATTCCGGAATGCTATGAAAAACAGCCTAAATGCATAGACACTACCATCGCTATATAAGCCCTCCTAACAATTGTAGTAGGGATCTACAACAGAAGATACATCCATATACGATTAGCCGGTACATCCGCTCCATCAAAAAGGAAAAGCGCCCTGTTACCCTAACACGACCTAGGCGAATAATATCTCGCCTTCTTGAACAATGTAGAAAAAGATACGGCCACCCTTCCCGATTCGTGTCTATATAAAGTACATAAGTTCATACGCCAGTACTGTTTCGTTTCGTCATCAAACATATCGTCAAACTAGCACCGGTAGCGGTAGATTTCCTGCTGAGTTCACATGACAATACAATCCTTATTTCGGTCTTTGGGGCGATCCGATGGTCCGATCGCTATAGGCACACCTGGCGGTCGTCTTCCGAACTGGGCTCTTTGGTATGGAGCTACATAAGGCGCAGCTCTATTGTTGGAACTTCGTGGAGGTGACTGATAGGCTGCATTATTGGCCACCTGTTCATAAGAAGGCGGCGGAACATCATCGGCGTCCCGAGACGGCGAGTGTCGCTCGGGTTGTTGTGAAGGACGATGCCCTGTAGAGCGGTGGCGAGCAGGGGGTGGCCCCTCAGAGGGCCCTTGAGGGTAGTATGGAACGGAAGCTCGCTGATTACGGTCACGGGGAGTCCTGCCACTGGCTTGTTGCTCTTCTTCCTGTAGTTGAAGGGACAAGGCATAAGCATAATCTGCATCAGCCTGCTCCTGTGGAGATAATGCTCTGCCTTGCTGTTCTTGTGAGATTGCCGCGGGGGTTCCAGAATGCCGAGTATTGCTGGACGTTCTGGGACCGGATGGATCGGAGGTCCCCGTCGAGGTATGGCTGACAGGGCGGAAATCACCCGCAAAGAAGCTGGATTGAGATCCACTGACATCAACGAGAGACTCCCATACGATTTCCGCCCGATGGGAGTATCCAGCGTCAGTAACTAGTGTGAAAAGCTGATGGTTTTGTGGGTGTTTATAGAGGGTAGAGAAGTGGTCATTACGAAATAGAATCGATAGTGACCCTGGTGGCAGCTTTTCTGTCAAATGTTGAATCCCGAATGTGCTGAGCTGGGTGGCATTCTCAATCTCCGTGAAATGCTGAATGACTTGAATATCGTTCATGCTTTGCTCTTCCTCTGGGGTGAGTGACCCGCCTCGAAATACACGATCCTCGAGTTCTTGTTTGCGGAAGGGAAGAAGTTGGATATCTTCATAGAATTGAGCCACACGAGTCAACGCCCCATCGGCCTCTGTTGACGGTTCAGCGATCCAACCGTGTAGCAGCGGGACGCCGAAAGTGCCATAGAACTTAATATCATTAGTTTCTAGGAACGTGCCTACCGAATCGCTAGACTCCTACTTCGTTGTCAGTACGGGAAATCACCCTGAGTGCAACAGAAACCCCTACCAGCGTGAGTCGTGGATTGACATTCATGCCCGTGTGGAGCATAGTCAAAAATCTACTCAGGGCTTCAATGTCTGGAAGCTCGTCATCCGGCCCCAGGCATGTCGTTAACTCGTCGAACAAAGCTTCGATCAACAGACCAAGAGATATCTGTTCTCGTGTTTGTAGCGCTCTGATTATAGGAGGCTGTGAATCGGGGCGTGACCGCAGCACGAGAGCATTAACCAGCGCTAGCAATGGGCATGGTCCGTTTTTATTTTGAGCGAGGATCGGGCAGTCGCGCAGCTTTCCCGTGGCGTCAGTCCAATTGACATGCCTGATCGAATAAGTTTCAGATCTCTGTTCGGAGACTGGGGTATCAGAAGTCGGTTGACTAGGTTGTGGAATATTTGAGCGGTCAGGAAGAGGTGGTGCAGCGCCTAGCTGACTGTTCTCTGGTGGTATTGGGTGTGGTTGGCTCCCGTTCATGTCGGAATACACGGAGGATGCTGCCGTACGCTCGTTCGTTTGTATATGTGCATCTGATGCCTCATTGAGGTCAATTAGAACATGCGAAGACCCAGTGTTTGCAGTAGAAACTGTAGCAGGTGTATCTATTTCATTCCACGGTGATAGGTTTGCTTGATTCCCTTGCTGATGCGGTTGTGGAGAATATGTATTTGGATTATCGTAAGGAGTAGTCAGAGGCGGTTGGAAAGGAGACTGGGCGTTCGCAGCCCCAGCTGCTGATTGAGGGGGGTATGGCGGATCTTGCGCAGGGTACTGATTTTCGTGCAGGATCGGCGGGGGCACTGCAGATCGTTCTCCAGCCCATGGAGACTCTGATGGCGAGTCAAAAAGCGATAAGCGCGCTGTCATTGGAATATAACCTTCATCTGTCGTGCGTTAGCGTTCGCTTGCGGAAATTGTGCTTTAGATAAATAAAGAGACCAATCGGACCTTGTCCCAAACGTGCATTTGCACTATCCTGTGATGCAGAAGTTGCTTCTGAGAAGGGGCGAGGGCTTCTGTCCTCCCATGGATTCTGTTCAGGTTGTCGTGGCTTCAAGAACGGATTGTTGGACTGCAGCGGAGCTGGGGAGTTTCCTACGTGTTCCCAGTCGGGAGCCTCGTTGACGTCTCCGTTTTGCTGCCATTCGTTTGCGGCCATCCTCCGTTGGGTACCAGCAACAAGGATAGACGGCACACGGTCTCCCCTTCTATTCTCCGCACTCTCGGCTGGTGGAGCATTATCAGCGATTGATTGCCCCGAACCGTTATATCCCTGATGGTTCTGGCCGGGTCGCTCCACCAGTTCATCCGCCCATGGGTTCATGTTTTCGCTCGGTGAGGATCGAACTGGAGACCTCTGAGCTTGCTCCAAGGGCATTAAATCAAATGCAGGGGACGTGTTAAGATCGGGAGAAAATACTGATTCTTGAGAGGGAAGCCGATGGGGTTGTGGAGAGCTTTGAGCTCGTCTCGGGCGCGTCAAGCGTTTCGGGGATGAAGACGACACGGATTTGGAGGTAGGGGAGATCTGTGAGATCGCAGAACGAGGTTCAGAACGAGCATTACCCTTGTTGAGACTGTACAGGTGTGGCGGAGCCCGTTTGCGCAAGACCATGAAGGCAGACGTATATTTAACTCAAGGCAGCGCCTTTAGATGAATGCAAGGTGAGCACGCTAAGAGCAACCAATCAAAGGTGTATGACAAAGGGTACGAGTTAGTGAATCTCGTTTTCCTCATGCGCGAATGATCGATCGGACAGTGAGACGTGGCTCAAAGCTATTTCATGAGCATACGTAACGGTGGCTCAAGATTAAGGCTGGGGGCCAATAGACACTTTTGCTTTGGAAGATGTCCGTCAGACAACAAATGCCATGGCTTTGTCCCATATAGCCTCTTCAAAGGGTTCCTGATAGGGTCCGAGGAGGAGATGCAATTCACAATAGATAGATGTTGATAACAGGCACCCAGATTTCCGGATACACTAGTAGTCGTCAACTTAATTATGGGTCATTGAGTGGATAAGAAGGCGAATTTCCGGTGGCCAGTCTTTGGGTCGGAACGTTCCTCCGTACTTACACTAATTACCGATCAGCAATCCTTCTCACTGCTTTAAATCAAGGAATCCCTTGTTTTCAATTGTATTGGTATCGTCAACCCCACATTACGTATTAGCCCAGCCACAACTACCACATGATCCACCCGCCACTTTAGCCACTGGTAGATCCTACGATGCCATTTTTCTCTTTCATAATTGGGCACAGAGAACATCGTGAAATTTTTGGTGTTTGTTTTGATCGCCACACAGCGTTTGTTATACTGGAGGATGAGTGATTGAATCGAGACACAAAGTTGAAAATGTTACCCCTCACAGGGGCTTAAATAAAGAGATCTAAAACATATTACCCTTTCCGGGTTATTGAAAGATACACCGTGGACGCAGAAAGGGCATTGCTTAAAGGCTGAGCAGTACTCGATGCTTCCGATGGTGTCTGCTGCCATAACCGTTTTGTATCAGATCATTTTGCTCTGGCACAGATTACCTAGCAGATAAGTTGCCGCCGCAATTGCACATGCTCCCAGCAGGCATGTTATCCTACCAAAGAGCTGCAGCCCGGAGAAGTTGGTGTTCCCTTGACGGTTTAATATGACACCCATGATAGGCAACCCCGTGAGACAGTTAATATGCTGCTAGTCTAAGCAGCATATATATACGAGAGGAGGAACTTGACCTAATGCCGAGTATCATGATCAAATCGCACAGGGCATCAATAACAAGACGAAGGAACCGCTGACAAATCCATAAACCGAAGCAAAGACGATGATGCCAGCATGCGACGGGTGGTAATTGAATGGGAGCCAGAGAGCGAGAATTGAAGCTCCTGTACCGAAGGAGGCCACAGTGAGCACATTGAATTGGCCGATGCGATCTGCAAAGGGAGGAGGAAGTATACGACCCAGAACGGAAGTGGCACTTCAATGTCGGTATGGGTGAAGACTAATGAATATGGTACATACTTGATAAGCGATATTAGGTACAGGGTGAGTGTTGGAGAAAAGCCGGCGTTGATACATAGCCATTCTCGAGATATAATTGAATGGTGCCCTGATGGACCCGACAGCCATAGACACAACCTTGTATCTGCAGGCCCGTCGAATTATTTAAATGACAAATCATATTGTTGACGGTATCAGTGTGAGTTATTTCCAGGGAATCTATCGTTGTCTCCCTATTATCTCGCGCAAACGCTTTCATGATTATCTCATCCATGTCGGCACATCCCCTCCAGCAAGCTTCTCAGTTCTTCTGCCCAATATCTGCCTAGTGATGTGCCATCCTGAGATACTGCCCCAAACCCCGCAACATATTAGCCGCGTGTCCCTCTACATTACTGTCAAGTTGCTCTTCACTCAGGCGTAGGTGGTCTTTCCTCCTGCTGTTCATCTAATTCATGCTGGCGTTCTTTTGGCGCTATATGAGTATGCACGTGGGAAGCAAGATGATGCTTTCCTGTCTTTCCTTGGCTGTGCGCGAATGAGGTATGCGGCAGGTCTTCTCCACCATGAGCGGCCGACACATTTGCATCATTACACGGAGGCAGAAGAAAGGTTAATACATGATTAGGGATCATCGTTTTGGAGCGGTGTTAATCCCTGTTTTCACAACGCCTTCCTTGCTAACCACGTAAAGCGTGTTCTTTTGCGAGCTATCCACACGAGATCAGCCTTTTACGACTGATATCTTCGGTCATTTCCAATTAACAATATCTGAGGACATTGATCAAGATGACAGCATGTCGCGGTTCCAAGCAGCTGTAGAATCAATCGAGATGAAAGGCCTTGGGTACTCTGCCCAAGCAGCGTGGCTCTTGGACCAAGTTTTGAAGGCTACCAAACACCCGAATGCGAGTACACAATTAAACCAACTCGATGAGCTTGGTCCTTTATTGCAAGCCTTGCTGGGGTCTCTGTTGGAACAATATTAGAATGTTTGGGGCGTGCTTTGTGGGGCCACTACGATTGCTATTAGGTGAGCACGCTCTTCATCTTCTATGTTGATAGATACTTAATATTTTAGGGCCCTCTTCACACTGCACTGGCACATTTCGAGTCAATCTGCTCAGTCCTATTCTTCAGAACTGGAAGAATGGAGGCGAAAGGCTGATGATACCTTAGACATAGTCTCTACTATGGTGATTGACATTAACAATACACATGAGAATATAGCCCCACACCTGATTGATCTCTTGCCCCGAGCTGTGTCTATAAAACTCGGGCAGCATTGGGGCATATACATGATAATGCGAGTTAGAAGAATAAAAGCTGGCTGTGGGAGACGGATAAGCAACTAAATGCTTCGTTGGATCAGTTCAGTCGGCGACGGGGCTTTGAAACGGCCGCTATAAAGTCAGCGACGTATCGAATACGACCAGGCTCGTTATGAAGCGTTTACTTGTATTGCAGAGACTGAGCAGTCTCTGCTTTGCTCATAAGATTTGACCGTCATGACAATATAATTCCTAAGTGTATAGACTTTGTGGATTTGCCCTCGTCCTCAAGAGAACGAAGTCTCCAACTTGGTGAATAAATCGCCACTTCAAGATAATAAAGAGGTACTTTCCACTATAATGGCATTCTCTCCGAACGGCCCAAGATCTACCTGACATGGCCCAAGAAAACAGTTTGCTTATCCTGCAGCAAATGCTAAGCCACGATGTGCAAATAGACCACCCGCCACAACAGCCACACGCGAACACCGTTATCCATCGGACGGAATAACTTCTGATCCGGACAAAGAGTAGATAATATCATATGGTCCGTGCGCTATCGCAAAAAAAGTAAAAAGAGCATTGGGACACTGCGCATGTCGTACGCGGATTCTTAACTTTGCGGAGAATTTCCTTGGTCCATTCTGGTATAGTTTTTGTGCTACTGAAGATCATGATCTAATACCCATCCTTGCTTATTTTCTATAATTCCTACTGCGTGTCCGACACGATGCACTCTTACGTCCGTCCCCACCAATTCGTCGCATTGCGGCTTCCCTCCGAGTTCACAAAGATCCAGAAAATCGAGCCTGACTCGTATGTACACCATGTCTGCCCAATTTCTCTGGTACTACTTTTTGTGTTATACAGAAAACAGTCGTGTACTGACCAAATGAATTAGAACAGTCTTCCTGGGGAAATTCGGAAGCTTCCCCGCGAACCAGATCATCGGGCGACCTTTCTATCTGACCTTCGAGATCCTTGATGACGCAGACGAAAAGGATGGCAGCTGTCTACGTGTAATCCCTGCAGCTGAGCTGCATGCCGAAACATTGATCGCAGAGGGAGAGGGGGAGGGAGACGGCGAAGAGCTCGACATGAACGAAGATGGGACACCGATGCGCACAAATCGCGAGACCGTCGACGACGCCTCAACTCAAAAGCTGACATGGGAGGAGATTGAGGCACTGAAGAAGGAGTCCGGCGGCGCTGGAAGGGAGATTATCTCCAAGCTTCTAGAGTCTCATCAAGCTTTGGATCAGAAGACAAGTTTCTCACTCGCCAAATATATGCTGCGGAAGCGCAGAAAATATATGAAGCGGTTCACGGTTCTTCCGTTGGATGTTAGCATTCTCACGAATCATATGATGGAAGACCAGGGTGCAGCGAGGATTATGGAGTTGCGCGATGAAATGATCGGACTCTTGGGCTGCTGGGGAAATGTGCACCATGGTGGAGACGCTTCTCTCGAGCAGGCTATTGCGGCGAAGCCTAATGGTCGCTATCTTGTTGTCGATGATACGGGAGGCTTAGTAGTTGCGGCGATGGCCGAGAGGATGGGAATCTTGTACCCACATGACGGTGATGACTATGAGGAGCAAGGGTCATCCGACGAACCCAAGAAGAACGAAGCGGAACAGGCGCAGGATGATGAACAATCAGCCACCGATTCGTCCACTCGTCGCCCAGCTCGCCCAGCTCATATGTCCGCGTCTGGAAACAGCATTACTTTCCTTCATCCGAACAAGCAACCGAACCTCTCTCTCCTGAAATACTTCGGTTATAACCTAGATAACCCCGACGAGACACACCCTCTTCACAAACATCTAAAGACCGTTTCCTGGCTGCAACTGTTGGATCCCAATGCGGATCCGATCTACTCCGAAGAGCCCGAGATAATTCCCGAGTCGGAGCTATATACCATGAAATCCAACAAGCGAGGCGCTTATCACCGGAAGCGCAACAGGTGGGCACGAGTCCAGAGCGTCGTTAACGAAGCCCGGGCTGGAGAATTCGACGGACTCATCGTCGCAACTGCCATGGACCCTTCAAGTGTGCTGAAATATGCAGTTCCATTATTAGCAGGTTCAGCCCATGTCGCAGTCTACTCTCCATCAATCGAGCCCTTGACCGAATTAATGGATCTCTACTCGACACAGAGGAAAACAGCGTTCATAAACAAAAGGCAACAACTAAAAGAACAAAAGCTACAACAGTCAAGCGACCAAAATGATGCAAACGAAAACGATCCCCAAGATTCTTATCTTTCGGAACTGATGGATGAATTCTACCTTGATCCCACCCTGTTGCTGGCTCCCACGCTCCAGAACTCCCGGGTACGTCCCTGGCAGGTGCTCCCCGGGCGTACACACCCCCTAATGTCTATGCGGGGTGGCGCTGAGGGCTATATATTCCACGGTATCCGAGTCATTCCCACTCAACAGGCCATCCAGGCCGCGGGCAACCCAAGCCGGAAAAAGAGGAAGGTCGTGACACAGGACACACCCACCACCGCAGTTGATAGTGGCAGTGGTGTAGATGTCGAGATGAAGTCATAGGATTTTGCGTTATTACCATGTAGATTAGAATGTTTCTGGGAAGCCATGATTATAAAAACACGCCATACCATGTGGATATACCAATACCAATACACCATACACAAGGGTCATCTACTACGCAGTGCACTTGAGTATGACAACCTTAACAAGAATAAGCAATCCATATCTAGATATATCACAGTTCGGATACAATATAGTTCTCAGAAATTGAAATCGGAAATTCTTAAATGGTTGCTTTCATACGCTTTGTACGCTGAATAGTGACCAAACAAAAGAAAACGCATCACCCTAGAAGCTCTTTCCCATGAACTTTCTCTTCGCAAAACTCAACCACCACTACACCACACATATTAGCGACCAATATCACAACCTAACACCATATACAGGAAATTCCTTACCTTCGAAGGACCAACACCACCGGGGTATAATCTGGCATGTAGACGGATAGCAATCTCCTGTCGTACCTGCGAGAGGTATCTATAGCATAGCATATTAGTATCCGATCACCTGAACAAAAGACCAAAATAACCATACGCTCTCAGTGACTCAGCATCCTGGCGATCGCGGGGCGGCTCGAAAGCTTGGTTAAGGGGGAAGGAGGCATCGCCGGGGATAGCGAAGTGATCGAGAGCAACGTTGTTAAGAGCCTAGCAGTGTACATCCCGGTCAGTGTTTCCGTCGCACATTTACAACAAGCACAAGTATATATCGCATCTGGTTGATGTACCTTGCCAGCCTCAAGAGCGGTCATGTTCGGCTTGACCTTCCCGAGACACTCGCTGATAAACAAGGTGCCGTAGATGAGCATACGGTCGGCGGGGCCGTTGATCTCGAAGTTCCGGAACAAGACATTGGCGCGGAAGAGGGACAGGATCTCGTCTACACAATCGTACGACTCGCTGTCGACGGCGACTTCGGTGTCGGGGACATTGGACGGTAGTGGGGGGAGGGTGTATGCGGGGCCGCGAGTGCGGGTGCGGAGGGGAAGGATAGGAAAGTTGCCTGTCGGGGAGGAGTATATGGTGTCAGTCTGGGGGATATTCTGGCAGTGTATGTCTAGTATGGTGTCGCATTTTGCTAAAGGCGGATCAGGAGGAGTGTAGCGGCGTACCTATTACGGGGATACCCTGATCCTGGAGGAAAACGGAGTGGTATGCCTAGACTGCGTTAGATAAGGGAACGTCGGGGTATCGTTGAATAATTGACCGCAAGCCACTCACCGGCATTGTGAACAATATAATAATATAATCAATCCCCTTTAGCGCCTGTCTATTGAGGATTGCTGGAGTAAGAAGTAACGTCGAAGGTCGTTGATGGCGGTGCTGCCAGACGGCGGGAGGTGCATGTCATCACCTATAGGGCTGAGCTCCTGAAGCAATGAAATGATTTTCCGGCGCCGAACCTCTTTACGCGCGGGTGTGTTTTGACGCGTCTTGCTTCATCCAGCAGTCTTGCAAATTTCATATTGCCTTCTATTTGCATGATAGTATTTATTCTAATCCTCTGAAGACTCAATTAAAGGCTCTAGTCAATATATCCCGGCAAAATGTCCGATTACGAAGATGAAATGGACGTGGATGCTCCGTCTAAGAGCATCCAATTCAGTTCCGATAATACCAGTGGGAAAGCTAAGAGAGTTGCGTCAGACCTGCCTGTCGAGGCTCAAGATAATCTGCCATGGTGAGTACTAGCTTCACATTGCTACCATCATTACTAGCTCGCTGATTCATTCCAGGGTTGAGAAGTACCGGCCAAACACTCTCGACGACGTCTCCGGTCACAAGGACATCTTAGCTACAATTAACAGATTTGTCGATGCGAATGTATGCGCCGAAAAACCAGAAATGTTACCACATCACTAATCTCTACAATAGCGACTACCGCATCTTCTTCTATATGGGCCTCCCGGAACTGGCAAAACCTCTACAATCCTTGCGCTCGCAAGGCGGATATATGGGAGCAAAAACATGCGCCAGATGGTGCTCGAACTAAATGCTAGTGACGATCGAGGCATTGATGTTGTCAGAGAACAAATTAAGACCTTTGCTAGTTTGTGCCCCCGGAAAGGAACTACTTCATTCGGCAGTGAACTTACCTGGTATAGGCACCAAACAGATCTTCTCCATGGCCCCGCAACCGACCTCTGGTGGATCGTCACTCGCATCGTACAAGCTGATTATCCTTGACGAAGCAGACGCCATGACTGCGACCGCGCAAATGGCACTCCGCCGGATTATGGAGAAATATACCGCCAACACAAGATTCTGCATTATTGCCAACTATACCCACAAATTATCGCCCGCCCTTCTGTCCCGTTGCACCCGGTTCCGCTTTAGCCCGTTGAAGGAGCAGGACATCAGGTCACTGGTTGACCTGGTCATCGAAAAAGAGCAGGTAAACATTCAACCAGAGGCCGTGGACAGCTTGGTCAAATTAAGTAAGGGTGACATGCGTCGCGCCCTGAACGTGCTACAAGCCTGCCATGCAAGCAGTAAGTGCAACCAAAACAACTCTGCGCATCGAGGTTCTGATATTATATAGGTATACCGCTCCCTGTTAAGAATGCACCAAAAGACCAACCCCGTCCTGAACCGGAACTGATCACGAATGGAACGATTTATGAGTGCATAGCCGCACCGCACCCTGCTGACATTCAAGAGATTATGACTACACTTCTTGCTACTAGCGATGTCACTTCGTGCCTCAACACCGTGAATACCTTGAAATCCAACAAAGGCTTGGCCTTGGCCGATATCCTTGCGGCTCTGGGTGAACAACTGCAGCAGCTAGAAGTCCCTGCACAAACGAGAATCACTTGGCTGGAAGGCCTCGCTGAAATAGAATTCCGACTTGCCGGCGGAGGCTCTGAAGCCATACAAACCGGTGGTCTGGTTGGAGTTGTACGGAATGGATGCGAGCTTATGGGGGATAAGGGCGTGTCCATGGCGAGTTAGCTTCGCTATATTCTTCCTGATATTTATTGCATGTTCACAGCACACCACACGTCATCAAAATCTATTCTGGTGATGTCTTCATGTCGGAGTTTGGGAGTTTTGAAATTTGGCATTTGCATCCGTCCTCAAGTCACAATGAACCAGCTAATTTTGCGCTGAAACGATGAGAAAGTTAAACGAAGGTGACATCTCTAGGAGTCTGAACTCGTATTGGCCTGACGGCAAAGAACATCACACGGTCAAGGGCTAAATTAGCTGCATGACGGCCCTATCCGCGGAACAACAGAGACTGGTCAAGAGACATAGAGAATTGAGGGGTCGGCATTGAAAGACCCTCGGGCCTACTTCGAATTGGCCTCGTGCCACCACAAGCCCTAGTTTCCCTCCAACTAACTTGGATATAAACAAATGAACAAGAAAAGCGGGCTTATCTGATCCCGACCAGTAACGATGGGGTCTTATCAGTAATGGCAATTCTTTGTATGACTCATGGTACAAAAATCAACCAAAAAAAAAAAAAAAAAAAAAGAATCCCCGCGGAGACTTGATAGACACCTCCGTGTATCTCATTGTGAACTTGGCACCGCGGACTTGGCCGATATACTCCGATAACGACTTGACAAGACCCTGGTAGTCAAAGCCGACCCCTCGCCGACATCTCGCCTCCACTTTCTGCACGTTAATCCAATGGCCCATTATCTTCAAGCGATAGACGTCAATTAGCTAATAATTTTCCGTATGCCCCACTCCCATATGTTACCCTGTTTGTCCATTCGGAGCACCTAAGCTCGCTACTAACTAGTACGCTTTTTTGCTTCTTTCCCTCCGACAAACCAGTCAACGGCTGCATTACAAGTTCATTCGGCATTGACCGCCGTAGAAACTTGCCCCTTCAGGGTATATTAAAAAGAGGGGGAAATAGCATGGTTAAGTTTCTCACTAGATGTGACCCCCTCCGTCAGTGTAGGGGGTCATAATGATCACATAACTTTCTCCGCGGTCAATGCGAAGACCCCTACGAGTATATATAATGAACTACTAGTCCACACCCCACTTTCTTCCACTTCCCTCTCAGAAGCCATACCGCAAATTGCTGCTCCAGATTCAGGGCTGCTGCGAGGTAGTAAGTCGTAAAGAATCACACTTCAAACGATGCGGCCTTCCTTCCAGCCTACCAGCCTCCTGCTGGCCTTGACGGCCATGGACCTCGCTTCCGCAGAGAGGGTCCTGGGCGCATACATCTTCGCCCGCCATGGAGACCGCACGCCCAAAGTGCTAGGAAACACCCGGCTCACCGACCTCGGATACAGCGAGGTCTACCAAGCCGGCAGCTACTACCACGACCGGTACATCGACGCAAGCTCCTCGCTGCAGATCGATGGCATCAGCTCCAACATCGTGAACCTAAAGCAACTCACCGCGTCCTCGCCCTCGGACGCAGTCCTCCAGAACTCCGGCGTAGCCTTCATGCAAGGCGTCTACCCGCCGGTAGGGTCCTCGGCCAACGAGACCCTGGCCAACGGCACGACCGTCTCAGCCCCGTTGGGCGGCTACCAGCTCATCCCCCTCAGCCTGGTCTCCACGGGCACAAACAGTGAGGACAACACCTGGCTGCAGGACGCAACGGGCTGCAACAACGCCAAGGTCAGTAGCAACAGCTACTACAGCTCAACCTTATACAACGACCTCTACGACTCCACCGAGGACTTCTACCAGTCACTCTCGTCCATGCTAGACGGCGCCTTCGCAAAGGACAAAATGAGCTTCAAAAACGCCTACACCATCTACGACTACCTCAACGTCGCCAACATCCACAACACGACCAACACACCCACAACAGAACAGCTGGAGCAACTCTTCCTCCTCGCCAACATCGAGCAATACAACCTCGCCTACAACACCTCCGACACCGTCCGTGCCATCGCAGGCTCCCAGCTCGCCGGCGAAATGCTCCAGGGCCTCAACAAGACCATCACCTCCAAGGGTGCCAACAAACTCAACATCCAGTTCGGTTCCTACGGAACCTTCCTCTCCTACTTCGGGCTTGCTCAGCTTCCCGCCGCTGATGTCAATTTCACCGGAATCCCTGACTATGCGTCGTCTATGTCTTGGGAGCTGATCACCGATTCCACTGCAGATGGATTCCCCGATGCTTCGGAGATTAATGTGCGCTTTATCTTCCACAACGGCACCATTACTGGGTCCAACGACGCCCCGAAGGAATTCCCTCTGTACGGTCAGTCGAGTGCCACGATCCCATGGTCGAAGTTCGTCGAGGAGACGAAGAAGATTGCCGTCACCGATACAGAGGAGTGGTGTAAGGTTTGTGGAAACACGGACGGTAAGTGTGCGTCGTATAATTCTGATGGCTCGGGATCCGATTCCGCGGGTGCCACGTCGAAGAGTGGTGGTGATGGTGTGTCTAGACCTGTGGCGGGTGTTATTGGTGCCATGGTCACTCTGGCTGTTATCTTTGGTTTGGAGGCGCTGTTCCTGCTTGCGGGTGGTTTTACTATCACTAAGAAGCGGAGGGCTGGGGCTGACGGGGTTACCTCTGTTGTTGCGGAGAACAAGGCCTAGAGTGAATGTTGTGGTGACGTCTAAAAATGGTTAATGAATTTTGGAAGGGGGGAAATAGGTTTGAGGTTTTGTGATGTGATGGATGACTTGTGGTCTTTATGTTATAATGCTGTCTGATGTTGCCGGTAACTGATTAAGATGCATAATATGAGAAATGAAAGTAATGCGCTCAAACAAACAAGAATCCAACAAGTATTAAGCTCTTCATATGCCTGCCAATATGTACCAGATAATATGTTAAGAAAATAACTCAATACCCACAGACCAAATATTATCCTATAAACGTTCTTCCTCAGCCATGCCCTAACTCTTCTGCATTCCCAACGAGGCTCGCCGAGACTTGAACCACCTCGGAGTAAGATACCTAGTCACGTATTGACTAATGTACCAGGGTAGTTGTGCGATTCCAGCAATGAGTCCGAAACGACCGCGGTACAGTCTCGGAGTTTGACTCAAGACATCAAGCTTTCTTGAAGGGTCCATTTTTGGGCACTCAGGCTTTGGACCCAGTAATTTCTTTATCCTGGATGCATTTTCCAGCTTCCAGAAATCGACAAGTTCATGAAGAGAGACACTGTAGCCGTTACGTGTCTCTGTAAGATATTGCACCGTCTCTTGATGTTCAATGCTTATATAACTCTTGTATAGTCGTGATCTATGAATCGCCACTTGTAGGGTTGTAGTATTGTGCCGTGGGTGGGGAAAAGTCCCTCGGATAGCCCAAGGAATATTCAGTGCTCGAACTCAGGAGGCTCTCTAAGAGGGTGGCATATAGCATCTTGTCGGCGGGGCTCAAAACAGCGAGCCATTTTAGGACTGCTAGAAGCGCTGTATTTAGAATATTGGTATGGGACCATCCCTTGATGTAAGTGATCTCCATGTGTGGGCCCTGGGCAAAGCCTTCCAAGTATGGCTCTACTGCCCGCAATAATTTGACATTGCCAGTATCATACATAGATTCAATAATACAGGCTAGGATATGTGTGAATTGAAACTTGTCGAGGACCAACCTCGAATCTTGGAAGACCTTATAGCGCATATACTCGACATATTGCGTATAGATAGACCAGTGAAAAACCGAAAAGTAGCATGCGGAGGGCGTGAAGTGGCCCGTCTTACTGATATATACCGGAAGTTGGTTTTGCTGGTCCTGAAGGGGGCTGAGTCCTTGGGTGCAAAGAACTGCGTGATCAAGCTCATCGAAGAAACGGAATGTTGAAACACCTCGAACTTCTTTCTGGCAGTATCCCTGTAATTGTGGCAAGTCCTTCAGGAGAAGCCATCGAAGTCTGGTGGAGTGAAAAGTGTACAAGCCAAAGAACTTGATTTCGGCGAGAACAATCTGACTCATGGCGTCAACAATATCGTACCCTTCGCATGCTTCCATAATATCCAGTACGTGGTGCGTCTGTAGAAAATCAAACACTGAGCGGTGGGTGAAGGTGACATGCTCAATATCGGGGTGTTTCATAGATAAATGTCCTCTGCAGGGTAGGGGTTTTATCTCAAGAAGGCCTCTCGGTTGATCATTAAGTCTTGCTTGGGCTTGAATTTTACGAGTTGCCATACCAGACACATTTAGCCGCAACCTCTTAGCTCAGTGTGCATGGCAAACGTGGTGTCCATCTCATAGTCAGACAAGAAGCTGTCTCTAAGGAGAGTCATTGGTGCCATTCCCAGCTCGGACAGTTTTCCAACCACCGCAAAGGTTCGATACGCTGAAATGCGGTCAAGTGGATTAGCCCAGGTAAGCAAGTGGTCAATCAGTGGCTCCATTTCCCGTGGTATCATCTGTATTCTTCTCAACAGATGTTCGAGTTGGTTGTCATATTTTAGAGACCCTCTTAACGACTTCAGAACCAGAGCGACCCACAGGAAAACTCCATCAGCCCTATCAACTATCTCTTTTACTAGTTTCTGCTTAGCCTGAGCTGCTGACTTGGTGTAGCTGCATATCTCGAATCCTTTCAGTCGATGGATGACAAAATTCTCAATGTCGTGTCGAGTCAATTCGTGGAGCTGAAGTCGCTTCTCGTCCTTGAAAGCAGTGCGGAATATTTCATAGTTCCTAGACGAGGGGCAGAGCTTCAGATCAAACGGGGCCACATCTATCCAGCCCAGGAGCAAGTTCACCATGTCATGGTAATCTTCCTGGTAGGTTTCCAAGCACTCATCAAGACCATCAATAAAGAAACAGAGGCGGTGTTTCTTATAGAGCTCTTCATTGTGCAAGAGGGTGCTCAAAGCCGCACGAATGTCCTTTTGAGAAAATCGAAACTGCAAATGGACTCTCCAATCGCTTCTCATAGACTCCTCCCATTGTTCCGGGAAGACAACTGGTATGAATTCCGGGCATTGTTTCAGGGTATCATGCAAAACACCACACAAAAGGCCATCCAACGTCTTCTCTGCTTCAGCCCCGGGCCGCCAAAAAAAAGAACCGCACAAGCACTAAGCGCATCCTTCCAGCCCATTGCTCAGGCCCATTTATAGTGTGCTTATGGGTAGACAGAAACTTCATCAAAGTGGACTTCCCAGATCCCAGCTTTCCGGAGATGTGGAAGACCCCTGTTCCTTCTCGAACCCATTGATTGAAACGTCTTCGATATAGTCCATGGCTCTTAGAGGCATCATCCACAATCCATCGGAATGTTTCAAAGTGGGCTTCATCTATTTGGTTTTCTCTTTGATGCATTGACGCAGAAGCCATACCCTGCAGGATGCGGGTTTCTGCAAGTGCTTGACTAGGTGTATTTAATAGCTCCTGTAGGAGTGCACTGGCATTAGAGCTGACTGTAGATTTGAGAACGGTATGGAAGCTGTTCAGGTTTGTCTGCAGTGAGGCAAAGCCATCAAAGCTTTCTTCAGCTAGGCTCTGGAAGCGTTGTTTGAGCTCCGATCTAAATCACGAGAATATTAAACTCTGTTGTCAGATGAGACGAAGGTAAGTGGGGTTTAACCTGTCCAGAGTCTCTAGCTGTACGGTTAACTGGTGCCGACATTCCTTCAATGTATCCAACAATCGATGTTTCTTCCTTCTCATGCAGTCTGTCCGTGAATATTGCCCGCAAAACCGCACGTTTCGATTTCGGATCACTTGGAATACTCCTCCGGATAAGCTGGAGAAGTTCTTTCGATAATGTCCCACATTTCGCTGCCAGTCTGTGTAGAGAGTTCTCTTCCGTCGTCCCAGTCGTTGAATAGTATATCTCGTGAGCCCCACTGAGTAATTTGGTACCGAAATCAACAAATTGAAGAACAGCTGTCGCTATGCTAAGTGCAGAAAACGGGTCCATACTGCGGCCCGTTTGCTTGGGTCATGTCTTGTTAGTAAGAGTAATGATATCAGAAGAAAGAAGCTGCCTCATGATGCAGGGGGGCGCCTGAAGAATTGGGCTCGGTGGGACTTGCTTATCATGGCGGGGTTCAGCCTTGCCATCTGTTGGCAGTAAGCAAAGGTCCTCATGTTTGTCCACCACTTAGAAGAGGCGTGATAATCTTCAATTATGTGCGTCATATATATACTTTCGTCGAATTATAAAATAGGGTCCTAATGATTTATATATGCGATTAGCTTCCCCGCTTCGGTTTGGACGCACTCATAATAACATACTGACCTCCTACTAGTAGTAGATGCACTAAATCCATGAAGTTCAATCGGCCATGGAGCCTAGACTATCGTAGGTTCAATCCACCTAGGATACATCATGGGTAAACTAAGAAGTAATGAGGATTGTTACAGACAGTCAGCGGGCTGTATTTCTTGGGATAAGCTGTAAATAGTTGCCAACACAAGGTGGTGAGCTGCCCATGCCTACCCTAGCTAAGTGCTGCAGGATCCACGGTGCTTCAACGGTTGATCTCTTTTCGCTACGAGAAAAGGGGGGAATTAAAAGAACTAATTCATCAAAAAGCATCAGTTAAGCTTACTGAGAACTACAATTAAAGACCGAAAAAATAGGACGAAAATATGATCAAGAATGCTAAACAAACCACAGGACGAAGCAGGCAATACCAAAACGGGGAAGGATTCACAACCAACCAAACATGTATAACATACAAAACATGCAATCCAAGTGGTTAAAGGAGAAGCAGGAGCATCTCCACGAAGCAAAACAGATCTGCAGGCGATTGTTGATAGTTAAATTACAAGGCAAGCAGTCCCTACCGAGGACTAAGTTGCTGCCAGCAGCACCCTCAGCACAGCATCATCTCCTCGTGGCAGGCGACTTCTGGCAGCATTGCTCTAGACCCAGGATGATTTATGCGTGCCAATGGCAGGTACCGCGGAAAGACTATGAGTACCACCATTCAACGCCTGCGTTTTCCGCTTTTTGCATGGCCCTGTGCTTCACGCCTTGCATTGGCCTCCCTCCTCTGTTTCCTGTCCTCTGATATCCACCCATGTTGGAGTGCCGCATAAGCTCTGTTTTCACAGATGGTTAGCTAAGTTCCTGTTGCGGGTTGAAGGATAAAGAACATTATCCATACCCATACAAAGCATGGGTACCCCAGGCATCTCTTGCTTTATCCCAATTCATGCTAGCTTTCCTGATTTAGTCTATGTGAGTTTGAAGTGATCTTTCACTATGGTAAGGATTTGGAGGTGATATTTGACCAGAAAACCCTGTCGTGCACGATAATGCCTAAGGGAGCATTGATCAGTCAGTAAGCTAAGCCTAGCAGAAGACATGGATGGTAAAGAGCAAATAGACAGTTTTCAAAAGAAACTAAATAGCAACACGGCAAACTTACGCCTCAGAAGACCTATCCCATTTAGAAGCTGAGACCATCAAGTGTTCGTGTCTCCCAGGGATTGATCTCTGTGTGTTTGGTAATAGGGTCGTCGTACATTCCAGCTGCTCATCTTTTAAACGGTTATATATAAGCATCCCACTACCAAAGCAAATGTACAATATGCTCTATCTTGTTGACATAATGAGTCTAGATGTTGTCGTTGCCCTTGATGATGGCGTTTGTCAACACGCCGGGAAGTATTTCTGGTATTGGCCACAGACGCTCCTAGCCAACTAGTTGCTATCCTGATTAATACACTTTAATTATGATTCATAAACCAGCAAACAAAGCCATCTGGACTCGTTAAGGCAACACAAGTGAGACCATATATTCAGCAAGCAAAGAACCCGAACTCGTTGAGGCTACACAGGTGAGAGTCTAATATGTCATGAAGACTGAGCCTGCCCCTGCAACTCTCTCCAATGTTACAGTGCTTGTATGTAGTGAAACACTGACACTACAGATGATCCCTGAAGTCATGAAACAGGTACACAGTAAATCAGGTATGATAAACATAGCTTGTGTCGGCGAGACCTTGCACCGGCTGCTGCTCCGCATTTGAATTTGGGAGTAGCACCGTCATCCATTTCCACGAGCTATACTATGAAGATGCCCAAGTGTTCCAAAGTCGAGTAGAGCCTTGAGCGGCGTTTCAAAGAGCGGGGCTTGGCGCTTAAATGTCATCTAAATTACGTCTCCCTCTCGTTTTCGAGATGCTTTGATCCCAGCTCTCTGGAGATGGAATCAGTCACAATAGAGGCCTTGCCTCCAGAGGTCAAAACAGTCGTTCTGTATGCTATCCCAGATCTTCTTTCCCTAAATGCATTGGTTATCGCCTCTCCCTCATTCCATGCGTTGTATTTATCACAGCGAAAACAGCTGCTATCAACTATCCTTGAAAGATGCCTTCAGATACCTGTTATGGTCGATGCAGTCGCTGCGTTGATCGCCTTACGCGGGCGGGAGGAAAGATGACCCACCATACTCCTTTTCTGCAGAGAAATACCTAGGTCAGAAGTTGGATGTTTATCAAGTGTTTGCCTCAATGGCGGAAGACGATCTACTTGAAATGGCTCGACTTCATACTATAGTGGAGTTCATCTTAGAAGATATGGTCAACTCATTCCTCGAGCTTAGACCAGATACCCAAAAGCCAAAGGAGGAGAAGGTTGTATTATCACCATCAGGAACATTCCGGATGCAGCGAGCTCTCTACCGACTGGAAATCCATCGACTCTTGTTCAATAACAGGGATCTTCCATCGTTTGATGGCTTAGATTACTTTGAAGATGTACATCCTGACGACAATGACCAATGGATTTTCTTCCTTAGTTTATTCAGCCCATGGGAAATGGAGGAGATCCGATGTGTCCTGAAGTATATGTTTCGAGCATATGAAGAGCTGCCAGGAGCGACCGTATTTGACGATTGGTGTGAGCTCTCTCCCGATGAGAATGAAGATCCATTATCACATCTTTATGATCATAGTATGATTAATATCACCGGATAATCTAATATTATCTTGCTAACTTGAGTGGTCTAGAGATTGACGACACCAACAGAGAACATTATGTCTCTTACGGTCTGGGTTTTCTCTATCGCTGGATACATGTGTCCAGCATAACCTGTCGAGAAGAACGCTTGATCAAACAAAAGGCCATACTTCGTGGCACATTGTCCAGTTCAGCGCAATACATACTTTCTGCTCTGGATACAGATCCTGAGATTGAGTATTTTATGGACTTCGGTGATGAAGGCTCGGATGGCAAGACCTTCCTATCAGACGCGGACTGGAATAGTCCCAATTTGGCTTGGACATGGTGCTTAATAAATGCGACTTTAGAAGATGCATCCATAGAGCTTTGGAGAGATGTCACAAATCCACTACGCAACTGGGGGTTCTTATTTTGGGATGAGCATCGATTGAAGGAGTGGGGTTTCATCCCGGAAAGGATGAGAGAGGAGCAAGAAACTTGCCACAATGAGCCAGCGGATACGAGATCCGATCTTGGTGAAGCTGTCAATAACGTGTAAGGATACTATCATTCAATTATAGTCACCAGTTCTTATAAGTATAGCAAATAGTCTAGGAGAGACGTGTGCACAATACCACACCTTAATCTATAGAAGAACAGTGACATTGCTACCTTTTTACCACTAGATAGAAGTCGATTTCCACCCGCCAGTGACTATACGCTGGTCCTATGGAAACGCGTTGAGGCGGGTGTATTGCGACAACACAATATATGGAAGGTACCCAGCCAAGATAGCGTATCCTCCTAGTCTTTCGGCTTGTTTTCCTGTCCAGGAATCCATTCATAGGCCAAAACAGGCTCGCGTTATCTAAAAGAGGATCTATGTTTCTCTGATCAACCGACCAAAATTGATCGAAGGCTACCAACATCAAGCAAATCAAGACGTTGATCCCAATTAGCAGCCCTTGGCCTATGCAGTTGTTTCGAGGGCCATTGTGTGGAATTTCATCATATCGATATCGCGTTCCTACAATATCATGATATAAGTTGATTACGGTCATATGGACAGGGTGAACGAAGTATCAATTGAATGCCAGTGACAGCAATGTTGGGGAAACTTCGACCAATATGAAACCAAAGAGCTAGCGAAAAAGCATTTTGCAAAGTCAGTGAGTGGCAGATAGGACCAAGATAGCTCTCTGCTATCACAGAGAAAAACAAAAAGCAAAAAGAGAAGCCGAACGCGGGGGTCGAACCCGCAACCTTGAGATACCGTGATGACTAAGAGTCTCACGCTCTACCGATTGAGCTAGCCCGGCTACTTGTTGAAGAACGCTTTATATTTTAGCTATATAAGCCTATTTTGAGATGCAGCGTACTGATTCTAATACGCTGTATGAACCTACTTCATGGATAATACTCGATCGCAGGCCGGCAAACTTATTGTTAATGTAGATTATTCAACAACCCTACTGAGTATAAATGACTCAAGAAAATGGAAGGCAAAAAATTAAAACATATTCTTTCTGTATGAGAACATCTCCACTCAAACATGGTTCTCTATAGTTATTCTGCATAATAGCCGCTAGCGCAGACCTACCGGATTGGATTAGAAATATATAACCATCTTATCTCGCCCGGTAGCTTACCGATTACATCAACCTTCTCCCGACTAGATTCGAACAGTATACATCCACCAGTATCATGACAACAGAAAAGTCACCAGCAGCGGAGATTGCCGCGTCACTCAACGATGGCAAGGTACATCTACTTCTGGCTGCAACGGGTTCTGTTGCCACAATAAAGCTACCGCTTATCATTGCGGCATTCGCAGACCATCCGAATATCTCAATTCGGGTGATTCTTACCAAAGCTGCCGCTGAGTTCCTTCGTGCTCAATCAGAGGAACAACCTTCGGTAGAATCACTCTCATCGCTTCCCAACGTCGACTCGGTCCTCCATGATGAGGATGAATGGACCGAGCCTTGGACCCGAGGCTCAGACATACTACACATCACCCTCCGTAGATGGGCTCATTTACTAGTTATCGCTCCACTGAGTGCCAATTCACTGGCGAAAGTGGTCCACGGGATGTCTGACAATCTACTCACGAGCGTTGTACGCGCATGGGACACGACCGGGTTGATCGACGGGAGAAAGAAACGGATACTTGTCGCCCCCGCGATGAACACAGCGATGTGGATGCATCCTGTGACAGCACAGCAGATGCGCGTGCTGCAAGAAGATTGGGGGATTAAAAAAGTCGATGGGATTGAGCAGGGCTGGTTTGAAGTCCTCCGGCCCATTGAGAAATCGCTCGCGTGTGGTGATGTGGGGTCCGGCGGGATGATGGAATGGAGGGAGATCGTGAAGATCGTTAAGCAGAGATTGGATCCTTCTGCTTGAGTTTAATATACATGCCACCTCTTTATTCTGTGATAATCGGAATGCAAAATTCTTCGAGGTCTAGCCACGGTAGTGGTAATTCCACCTAACTACCCTTCTCGACTCAATGTTACATCACCAGTCTCGTGCCCGGAAAAGTGCTCCTGCGAATGGTACGCTGGGGCTATCCAGAAGTCACTCCGTGTACTTCATTGGGTGTTGGTAAGAAAGAATGAATCACTAATTCTCAATCCTTGACAAAGGACTAAGATCCCTGCTCCCACCTTCACTAGAAGCGCCTTCATTCAATCATTGTCATGGCCCCCGGCGACTGGAGTCTTGAATTCTAGCCGAACAGCTATTTGCACTTAGATGGTGACGCAATTAACTAGGCCTGAATCGAGTTCAGGATGCGCCTAATCGAGCGTCTTAGCATCGCGGTTCTGCTGTTTTGCTCTATTGTGTGGCTCGCGAAACGCTTCAACAACCCGTCCTTGGAGGTTCACCAGTTGTCTCGTTGGCACAATGGGGTCAATTTGGGATACACAACGCCCATGCCAACTCCCACCATTTCTCAAAACACGTCAACCACTAGAAAAAAGCGGCCAAGTATCACCGACCTGACGCCCTCACGGCATAAGGGAGCTGAGTCGCCTAACAATGAGTACCTCAAGGTCAAGATAACAGCAATCGATCGCGTTATTGTTGTTGGAAAGACGAAAGAGGACGATACGAACTGGGTAGTGAACGAGTTGCCCACGTAAGGCATTTACTCTGGATGTATAGCCGGTGGAGCTAACGCATCAACGCAGCTGGCAGCACGCGATCTATGCAGTGGATGACCCCGATGCACCTCTCCATGTAGCCAAGAACAAAGGGAGAGAAGCCAACGTGTACCTGCAATACATAATCGACAATTATGATGACCTCCCCTCCACCATCGTCTTCCTCCATAGCCACCGGGACGGCTATCCAAGAGCCTGGCACACGGAATTCTCCGACCACAGCAATGTACGTACCGTCCGAATGTTGCAGACAGATTTCGTCCAGCGCAACGGTTACGCCAACCTGCGCTGTAACCCCAATCCGGGCTGCCCTGACGAGATCCGCCCATTTCGCGGATTAAGCGACGAAAAGCACTTACCGGAGCAAGTGTTCCCTGAGGTTTGGGAGACGTTCTTCAACAATACCAATGTTCCAGAGGTCATCGCAACCCCATGCTGCGCGCAATTTGCGGTGTCGAGAACGCAGGTGTTGCAGCGCCCATTGAGCAGTTATGTGCGGTATCACAAATGGCTTATGGAGACCGAATTACCTGACGACGCCAGTGGACGGATCATGGAGTATATGTGGCATATAATTTTCGGGCAGGATCCCGTCTAGTAGGTCACTCGTCTTATTATATCAGCTCCTTTTACTGACTTGCCGTATAGTTGCCCTGACATATATCAATGTTACGAAGATGTTTACGGCACTTTTGATTAGCGATTGTCAGATCAAAGTATATATTCTCTAGAACAACTGGATAAGCTGAAAACAGAAATAATATCATCTATTGGCAGTGATTAAATAGCAGAAGTTGCGTCCAACAAGCCATGGAACTACTATACTCAATCCATTATACACGCCGTTAAGTATTCTACTAGAACTAGCTCAATGTTTTCCACCATGAAAACCAGTAAAAGAAAATACAACTACTTAATTCAAGCAGATACAAAACGTCGCAATAACATCTCGCATACATGTAGAAATTGGAATTGTAAATGCCTATTGTCTAAACAGAGCGGCCGTGACATGACGTGACCACATCTACAATTGAATGAATTTTCCCCGAAAGGCTTCGACATCCGCCGAACACGCGCTCTCCCTCGACCACAATTCCCCTCCCCCCAAACCCCACGCAACCCTTACTCCGTGGAGGTTTTCCAATAATGAGAATCGCACACAATAACCTCACAATCTAACTCAACGTCGCCCCACTCACCCTCGGAAACCATCTCTAACGGAGCTCCAACAAACGCGCGAACCCTCAACCTTCAAACCCAAACGCAACCCAACCGCACATCAAACAACCATCCAAACCCCCAAAATGTCCGCTCATTACGCAACAGAACCAAACCCGACAGCCTCAGCAACACTAAACACAACCTTCGGCCCCCTCCATATCTCCCTCTTCGCAACACAAACCCCCCTAACATGCCGGAACTTCCTCCAACACTGCCAGGACGGCTACTACACCGACACGATCTTCCACCGCGTGGTGCCCGGCTTCATCATCCAGGGCGGCGACCCGACGGGCACAGGTTCAGGGGGTACATCGATCTACGAAGACCCTGAGTTCGAATACGACCCGGAGGCGCGGGATCCGAACGAGAAGGTCGTGCTCCGCGATGAGCTGCACAGTCGGTTGCGGTATAACCGGCGCGGGCTGGTGGGGATGGCGAAGAGCGAGGATGGCAGTTACGGGAGTCAGTTCTTCATTACGTTGGGGAATACGGAGCGGGAGTTGAATGGGCAGTGTACGCTTTTCGGGCGCATTGAGGGCGATAGTATTTACAATATGGTGAAGATTGCAGAGGCGGAGAGGGTGGAGGGGACGGAACGCCCTGTGTACCCCGTCAAGATCACGTCCTGTGAGGTTGGAGAGTTAGGCCCGCTAGCAGGAAAGATCAAGAAACGCCAGATCACGGCGACGCGAACCACAAAGACAGAGGATAAGCCCGCACCAAAAAAGAAGAAGAAGAATAAGGGAGGCAAGACACTCCTGAGTTTCGGTGATGACGGCGACGGCGACGAAGATATGCCCATTCGACCCGCGAAACCGAAGTTCAACTCCAGCCTGGTGACAGACACACACATCCCCGAGTCTCACAAACCAGCCCAAGAACCGAAACCAACAAAGAAACGCCCGCGCTCCCCCTCCCCAGAGCCCAAACATCGCCCCAAGACCCCAGAACCAGAGACTCAGCTCCCCCTCCCCAAACCCGAATCGCCAGAGCGCTCCCCCTCACCACCACCAGCACCAAAGCAATCCTTCCTCTCGCGCACCAATGCCGAGATCGAGAATCTCAAGGCCTCCATGCGCAGAACAGCCAACACCGGCCCCGCAGATACAGGACACAAAAAGTCCGCCCTAGAAGCCATGATCCCTGAGACAGCCATCCGCGGCCGCAAACGCCCTCCACCGGGCATGTCGGCCTCATCCAACGGCTCAAATGGGATAACAGGGTTCAGCAGCTCAGCAGACAACGAGACACTCAAACTCTTCAATGCATTCAAGGCCAAGCTTGAAAGTGCCGATTCAACGTCCGCTCCCACGCAGAAGACCACGTCCCAAGATACCAAGCCTTCTACTGAGACGCAGGAAGCAGATGACGAGGAGGCACAGCTCTGCGATCTTCACTTTATTGCGAATTGCCAATCATGCAAATCATGGGATGATGATCAGACCGCGGAGGGCGGGAAGGCTGGTGCGGCGGCGGAGGATGAGGAGGGCTGGTTGACGCATGAGTTGCGCTTTGGTAAGGATACGCTTGGTAAGGATTTGAACTGGAAACGAGAGCATCAGGATGCGGACTCACTTATGGTGATTGATCCGCGGGAGAAGGAGAAGGAATATGTTGGAGGAAAACGGAGAGGGCTTGAGAGAGATCGGGAGCGAGATAGGAAGCGCGAGCGTGCAGGTAATCTGGAATGGGACAAGGCACGGAGAGGGAAATAATCTACTGTAAATGAATGACTACGTATGTACTTTCAAACCATAGAACAGTCTCCATGACATGATGTAGATCTATATATCTCGAAACATTGTTTAGCTTTGCAGGAGATTACGTACAAAGTTAACAACAGTGAAAGGCATTATAATACCTCGTGGGAAAACAATGCATGTACATCAATAAGCATAGACAAGTAGGTCATAGCTGGAAGCTCAGTCATAAATATGTACTCAAGTCATTAAAACAAGTGATAAGGATGATTAGAACGAGATCACGAGAGGTCCTCATGGCCCACCATGGCCATAAGATAAGTATCCCAACAGAGGTATATAAATGACACTCCATGTGGGACTGCTTCCCATGCTCATATCTTCCCTTAACTTTTTTTTTGGTTGTCCCGCCGAATCCTAACGCCCTTATTCGTAGTGCTATCCGCCTTTGTCGAAACAGAGGACCGGACTTAATTCAGACGCCGATCAACTCACAATCCAAGAAAACGGATCTGTAAGGGCCGCCATCCTTACTGAAGCCCAATCGTAGGCTGCTGGTATGTGTAATAAGATTATTGACTAGTCGCACGCGTCACCGGAATTCAGACCAAGAGACCGAAAACCCAGTCTGTCTTGTTGTATTGGGATCGAATCGCTTGGCTAGACGAGGGGGAAAGATGAATGAACGGGACTCGATTTGTACCTTTTTGACCCAATGATGCCTCGTTTATTCGCTTCGAGTGGGTGGGAACGAAAACTGGACAAAGGAAATTGATAGTGGTTTGAGGTCGTTAACTCCCAACGGTTTGTCGCATTTCACGTCTTTCGCTTCTTCAGAGTGGTTTCCCTTTCTTTATTGCCGACGCACAACCCCGTTAGTAGAGTATATCAAACATATTAAGCCTTCTTGCGCCGCTTCGCGCTACCGCCGTTTCCCTTACCTCCCTGGAAATCTTTGCCCCCGTTAGAGACGCCATACTGCGCAGGCTCGTCCACGGTGTTACTTGGGCTGGTCGCTTCGCTATCGGTAAGAGTCTCGATGATTCTACCAGCGCCTGGATTTATCGTATTATTAAAGCCGCTGCCATCGTAGCCGTTATAGAAGCTGGGGTTCTGTTGCTGTTGCTCCGGTCCCTCGAATAGATCGCCATTATCAGGGATATGGTCAAAATCAAACAAGTCGTGTCCGTCTTTGATTATGCTATCATCTGCACCTGTAGTGACAGGCTCGCTTGGTGCCGTCGTTGGTACCGAAGTTGTGGTGTTTCCAAAGTCCATGTTGTTCTTATTATTCTCAAGATCCCCAATGTCCGTGAAGTAGTCATTATTGAAGATCTGATCGAGGTCTAGCGGGGGAGGAGGAACACTTCCATCACCTGTTACCATGCCCGGGATCGTCCCTGTTGGGCTAAGCGGCTGTAGAAGGTTTGTTAAGTTCTGGACCGAACGGTCTTGTTCAGCTTGCATTTTCACAAGGTTGTCAATCTCCGCGCGGGTGCTGGCAAGACGA